GAGGCTCTTAGTCAGATACAAACCCGAGGGGCCGTAGGCCCCGAGGGATTTATCTGACTAAGAGCCTCCGTTTTCGGTATCTAACTAACTTAGTTCATATTTGTAAGGATTGCCCACAATGAAATTCACTTTATGATATGTATTGTTCTTTAAATGAGTTTGAATTACCATGGTTGTAATAAAAACAAACAGGGCTTTCGCATTTGATGTGCATTAATTCTCGTGTCGCATTACTGTATACTATCAATGAGAAGTGATTGAATATTCGTTCACCAACCACAATTACGATGAAATATGTTTGAAATAGCTCATACAACAGAGAAGCGCTAACGAAGATTTGTACGGGTTTGTCGAAGCAGAGATTCTCAAGTTGTTCTCAACAGGGTTTTATATATAGGATAAAAACAGAATGGGAGGTCTTTCATTGGGAGGTCTTTCTTGAATTTCAATGAAAGACCGACCATGCATGAGGTTTTTATGTTTATATCCATTTTCTATTGTCCTCGGGAGGTTATGGTTGTGGGACAAAATAAGGTTGAACATCACATTAAACACGCTTTAATGTGGTTGAGCATGCGTAGTATATCATTTCGCGTCCCACAAGCGAAAGAGCAGATATTACTGTATAAAGTGCTTGCACAAGCAAGTTGGGTGCTTGGTTCAGCTAGTCCTCGTGCACCGAATGATAAATACTCCTATCCAAAGGTAGAGTTTGACGGGCTCTGAGGTACACGGCTGTTGTCCCTTTCTCGACTCAGAGGCGTGCAGCGTTTTCTAGTCGAAAAGGAGATGTGGGGTTTGAGTTTTGTTACAAATTCAAGGTATCTAACTCCATAGTGACCTCTAAAAGTGGTCACTATGGAGTTAGATACCTTGCATTTTTAATTAGGCATTCAATTCTATTCATCAACCCCGCTTTTCCCTGTGGAGATATCAAATCCCTCCCCTTGCTTTTAGATTCTTACCCAAATAAAACCCTATTGAGAACAATAGATATCCGCACAAATATGAACTAAACCGTAATACATACTTCGTCATTTCCTCTTGCGTCAGGAAAACATTGTTGTTGATAACATAGTATTTCACATTAGATCTAAAAAAGATAAACATATATGTGAAAAATCAGGTTTGTGTTATGAGATTATTGTTTAACGATTTTTCGTTAATTCAGTTCGACATTTCGATGAAATGAAAATGAGGACTCACAGTAAACCATCAGGAGTGATACTTTGGATGATAATGTCATAACCAGGTCCAGTTATATTCTGCAAGAGTCTGTTAAAAATGAATGGTGAAAATGAATGAGAATTATTGATACTTTTACTACTTCTACAATATAAGATTACTTCTCAAACTTATCAATAATTCATGAACCCAAAGGAAAGGAAATCAATATTTATTTAGTGTCTTAAAACTTAGAGGAAGACAGGGGATTTTGTCGAACATTCAGTCCAACAGGACATTTTGAAATTTTTCTAAAATACCAGTAAATCGGGACGGTAGAGAAGTCAGTTAAAAATTAATAGTTAATATTTCTACAACTCAGTTGTAGGAAAGTCTTACTCTCTGATTTGATCTTCGTCCAGATCACTGCTCACTTGCAAATCTAGGGGATCCGTTTCTGGTAGTTTGTATACCTGAGAATTAGAGAATGAGACAGAAATGAATTATAAGTTAAAGAGATACAGCAATATATTTTTTTATTATTTCATTTTAAAGAACTTTTAAAATTATATGTTAATCTCCTTTACCGATTTTGCGTAACTTTATTATTTCTTGAAATATTTCGACTTAAAATAATTTGCCGACCGCCATCTTGGATTGATTTTTATCTCATTATCGGTGATTTTAGTGAAGTCATAAGCAGGGTTAGCCATATAAAACTACATCTAAATGACCACATAACATTATGTCTTGTTTGAAAAGTCAGACAGTTTTTTATTTCAAATAGTTACTAAAGTATATGATTTTGAGCTCATAATAACCAATTGCTCTATGGATAAAATTCTTGCGTGACCCTGCTTATGATGTCACATGCATATCCGCCAAAATCCAAGATGGCGCAAAGCTCGCTGATTTGTGATTTTTTCTGTTCAAATATCTCAAGAAATAGTAAAGTTGTATCGAGTGTATATGACCAAAATCCTGACATTCTCTAATTATTTTACATACCGTGACAGTGGCAGGTTGTGCTTTCTTTGGCGTCCCTTGTACTGACGAATCGCGAGCGACAACGGTTAATGTGAGATGTCCGTCGGTTATTTGACTAACATTTTCAGTCGTTGTAATGAGACCAGTGTCAGGATCGATAGCGAAGGCACCAGCATCGTTTCCACTTTGGATCGAGTAAATGATGTTCGCATTCTCCCCGTCGTCTTTATCTGTTGCCTAGAGAAAAATATGCCAAACCTTTTAGGCTATCCTTTTACAATTCGTAGTTAAGGCTGATTTCCACTGTTGCGTTTTTCGTACGTAAAACTTTGAATCCTTCTATTTTTTAAATATTTTACAAATAAGTTAACAAATGCATACTAAAACTTGCGGAACACTAAATTCTGTTGCTTTATTTATTTGGTTATTTCATGAGTAACATTTAAACGGATTTAAAGTTTTACGTGCGTATACGTACGTATGCAAAACGCAACAGTGGAAATCAGCCTTTACGATTGCTCGTCACAATTGACGAGTTCTGCGCTGAGCTCAAAGTTGAACCTTTAATTAAGGCCCATTTCCTCTCAGGAAAATTTTCCGCAGAAAGAAAATTTGGTAAAATATGTTTGGCCCACACAAAAGCCTAATAACCTCGTTAATTTGTAATTATATTTAACAATTATTCGCCGAAGGCGAGGTGATTATCGGTGAATAAAAACCGAGACGAAGTCGAGGTTTTTATTCACGATAATCACCGAGCCTGAGGTGAATAATTGTTTTAGTATAATTTCATAGGTGATTATTTGGGAAAAAATTTAAAAATGCACATTTATTCGTCTTTTAATTGACAAAACGGCTTCGGCCGCCATTTTGAAAATCGCTTAGGTGATTATCGCGTAATAATCACCTCAACGGTAACCAATCAGCGTGGAGAATTTTCAATAATCACCTATGTAATTATACTAATTGGAATTATTGCAAAGGAGAGATGTTGTTTCGCGCAACTTCTGAAAGTTGTACATTCCGTATCGGATAGGTGCTTTGTCGCGTCGCTACGGAAAGTTATCTGGTATAGCTTGTGTAATCGTAGTCTAACTTACGTGAATTGTGGTTACATTTGTACCAGGTGTGTTTGTAAATCCTGCAAAATATTAAAACAAACCGTAAATTTCACTATCTATAATATTCTTTCCAATGCAAATATATTGAACTAACCTGCGACATATTTTTTCATATCAAATTCCGGATAGTTATCGTTAATATCGGTGACTTCAATAACCACTTTCAAAACATCAAAATTATCACCTAAAAAAGATACACAAAAGAAATTACCTTACTGGACCCCATGCGAGAACAGTTTAGAACTGATAAAACTAACCAATATGCACATAGTTTAGTTTCCTCCTAAAGAAACTCAAATTTTGATTTAGAACATTTCTAATGACAGAAAGAACTCAAATTTTGATTTGGAAATTTCTCGAAAAATTTGAGTCCTATCTGGACGAAAATGTATGTACTGCGCGACTGTGGAGGATGGGTTAGGACTAATAAAAATTTCCAGTCTAGGTTTCTTTAGTCTATAATTCCATACCTGTGTCTCTGCGTTTTCTTGCAATATTGCTGCCATGATTATAAGCGTAAATTGTGAGTTCAAAAATGTTGACTATTTCGCGATCCAAGCTTTTCACAAGGTAAATCTTTCCTGTCGAGTTCTCGATACGAAAATGGCCGGCGTCGTTCCCGCCATGTATGACATATACTGGATCTCCGAATTGGTCCGCATCCTGATCGATGGCAGAGACTGTGCCCACCAGAGAACCGACTGTGATGTTTTCTGAAACACTGAATCTATGGGAGAAGAAATAAAACTAAATTACTATGCTTAGAATAGGTGGGTTCTGGCACTTTGGCGCAACAAGTTAGAGCTCTAAGAGGGTCCAGGGCCGTACACAGAATTTAAATAAGTACCCTTTCGTGAATCCGTGAAAGTACCCAGCTGTTTGCTCATCCCTCTTTTTGAAAAACCAACCGACCCCTTTTCAGTAAACCCCCAATATTACAAAAAAATCTCCCCCACCCCTTTGTGTTTTTCGAAATATTTTTGCATACCTTTGTTCATCTTGCTCAAACTTGGGAACTACATCGTTGACGTCATCGACAGAAATAAACACATTGGTAGTATGACGTAATGCTGGTTCGCCGAAATCCTGCGCAACCACGACAAGCTGGATGGAGAAAATGGAATCATTCATTTCCGACCTATTCCGACCTACCATCGACCATTTCTGACCCACTTACCGACCTACTACCGACCTATTTCCGACCTATGTTGAGTTCAATATAAAACTGTATGTTATCCAAATATTAGTATGACGTAATACTGAGAGACAAATGCATGATGGGATTGTTGTGTTGTTAGTTGAACTTCCTCGTGAAAGTAACTTACTGTACAAAACTACATTTGTAATAAACGTGAAAATAAAGAGTGATTTCATTACAAATACGGTGTTCTAAAGTCATGGCTTCAACAGGTTATGGGCCCAGCAGAGAATCACGCGGGTCAAGGTTGACTTTCGATGGAAACGAAAGCAATTACGAACTGTGGGAAGCGAAATTCCTCGCGCACATGAGGTTATTAAAACTAAAGGATACTATCCTGCCGTCTGAAGAAGAGGCTGACGCAACAAAGAACGAAGAATGCTACGCCGAGCTTATACAGTGTTTGGACGACACCAGTCTGTCATTGGTAATGAGGGATGCTACCGACGATGGGTCATTCCATTTATTATCCGCACCCCCCCTATGGATGAGCTCTGGTAAAAATGTTACCTGTAGGAATCGGATTTCAGAGAAGTACCCTGTTGGAATCGACAGTATCAATCTAAACCCTAGGAATGCTGCTAATTGCCAATATCTCACTGGTAGGAATCTGCTAATTGCCAATATCTCACCGGTAGGAATCTACCAATTCCCAATGTCAGACCGGGGGGGGGGGTGAGAATAATAAATGAAATTATTATGATTCTCATAATAAATATTTGGCAATATAGTATGCTACACCTTGACGGCAATATCTGACCGGTAGGAATCGGGCCAAAGGAATCTGTTAATTCCCAATATCTGACCAGTAGGAATCCCCTAAGTCCTAATATCTGACCGGTAGGAATCCGCTCATCCATAGGGGGGGGTGCGGATAATAAATGGAATGACCCGATGGCCGAAAGGCTTTACAAATACTCCGAGACCATTATGCAAATCAAGGCAAACCAAGAATCATCACACTCTACTCTGAGCTAACGTCACTTGAAAAAGCACTTCACGAGACAGTCACAGATTACTTAATAAGAGCCGAGAAAGCAATAACAGCGCTTAAGAACGCCAAAGAAACGTTAAGCGATGGGCTAATAATTGCTATGATCTTAAAGGGGCTGCCTGATTCATATAAACCGTTCTCGATACATGTGTCCCAAAGTGCAAGTGAGATAACGTTCGCGAAGTTTAAGAGCATGTTGAGGAGCTTCGAAGAAACGGAAAAGCTCAACACCAAACCGAAAGTTGATCAGGTAATGAAAGCTGAGTTTCCTTCGCAAACAATGACATGTTATGGCTGCGGGAAAAGAGGGCATTTAGTCAGAGAGTGCCCTGCTAAGAGCGAGAAGAAGTGGTGTAACTATCACAAAAGTACAACACACTCGGATAGCACCTGCAGAAGTCAGCAAAAGAGCAAAGACCAAACCAAACAGGTGTCGGAGAAAGAAAACACCTCTAAAGATGAACATTCATTTGCATTCAAAGTTAACGACGAAGCAACAGGGAAAATCAATCGAATGGGAATGTTGGTTGACACAGGTGCCACTTCTCACATTGTTACTACTGATATTTTAAAGCAAATAGACATGACATTTAAACCATCAAAACATTACATTAAACTGGCTGATGGCACACGAGCCAGTAATATTGCATTGAAACGAGGGGATGCTGAAGTGTTTCTGAAAGATACAAATGGAAAATGTGTGAAAACGGTGCTGAAAAACGCCTTATATATACCATCCTATCCTCAAGATATTTTCGCAGTGAAGGCAGCCACATCAAATGGAGCCGAGCTTCGATTTGCCCAAGATACTGGTGAGCTAACCCTTGAAGATGGTACCATTGTTGAAATTGAAGAACATGGACGGTTGTACTATTTGACTTCCATAGACAGTCATGAGAACGATAGCGTAAGTGAAGTAGATAAGTAAATCTCTCGTATGCTATTAACACATGGCATGAAATCCTAGGGCACTGCAATTTTGAAGATATTATAAAACTACAGGGGGTAGTTAAGGGCATGAAATTCTCAGGTAAAATTGAGTCATCTAAGTTAGGTTGTAATACATGTGTAGAAGGAAAATTTGTAAACAGCAGGAGTAGGATTCCTGATGCAAGATCTCAAAAATCATTGGAGAAAGTGCATGTGGATTTGGCAGGTCCAGTTTCTCCTGTATCAAGAGAGGGGTTTAAGTACTGCGTAGCTTTTACTGATGATTTCTCAGGAGCAGTATTTGTTTACTTTCTGAAATGTAAAAGTGACACCTTTGTAGCAACAGAGAAATTTCTAGCAGACATCACTCCTTATGGCAAGGTAAGTTGCATCCGTTCTGACAATGGCTCAGAATTTACAGGTAAGGCGTTTCAAACACTACTAAGGGAGCGTGGCATAAAACATGAACCTTCTGCTCCCTACTCGCCACACCAGAATGGCACCGCCGAAAGGCACTGGCGCACATTGTTCGAAATGGGCAGATGTCTTCTTCTTCAATCAGGGTTACCCAAAACTCTCTGGCCCTATGCAATTCAAACCGCAGCTCACATTAGGAATAGATGTTTTAATAAGAGAACAAAGACAACACCCTACTTTAGCCTTACTGGGAAAGTACCTTATCTTTCTAAAATGTGGATCTTTGGATCTGAATGTTTTGCTTACGAACAGGAGCATAAGAAATTAGACTCAAGATGCAGCAAGGGGGTATTTGTGGGATACGACAAAAATAGCCCTTCTTACCTAGTGTACTACCCAAAAAATGGGAAAATCATGACACATCGACTCATTAGATTCATCAAGAAATGTAGTGTAGAACAGCACACACAAACTGATGAGTCCAGCAGGGATTGTGATGTACATGAGAAATCTGACCATGATACTAGATCAGACTTAGATAGTATGAACCTCCCTGTTTTAAGTGCAATGCCGCCAAATACAGTGCCTGATGAGGAGCCTAGGGATAGTGAGGGAAGGCATTGCAGCCATACTGAGAATGACAGTGAGACAAAACGGTATCCTCAAAGAGAAAGGAACCCTCCCAGATACCTAGAAGAGGACACCCTCCTCCCTAAGAATGCCGATTGTGCCCACATTAGTGTAGATTACTGCTACAAAGTTTGTGGATTACCACAAAATTACACAGAAGCCATGGGATCACCTCAAGCTAGGGAGTGGGAGCAAGCAATGAAAGAAGAGATCAGCTCTCTGAAGGAAAATGATACTTACGAATTATCAACTTTACCAGAAGGTAAAGCTTCAGTAGGGGGAAAATGGGTGTACACAACCAAACAAGATCAGAATGGCATAGAGTCCTTTAAAGCCAGATATGTAGCGAAGGGTTACAGCCAGATAAAGGGTATAGATTATCAAGAAACTTTCGCCCCGACAGCCAGTATTACTTCAATTAGGGTCTTAATGCAGTTAGCAGTAAAACATGATCTTATTGTCCACCAGATGGACGTTAAAACTGCATATCTGCATGCCCCCATTACTCAAGAGTTATACATAGACCAGCCACAAGGGTTTGAAGAGGTTTCAGAGAGTGGTGAGAGGTTAGTATATAGGCTAAAGAAATCGCTGTATGGTCTAAAACAATCAGGTAGAAATTGGAACATATTGTTACACGAGCATTTAGCAAATGACGGTTTTGTCAGAAACCATGCTGATCACTGTGTATATAAGAAACAAGTTGATGATAAAATTGTTATCGTCATTGTTTGGGTTGATGACCTAATCATAGCTTCAGATAGTATGCAGTTAATGGAAGAATTTAAAGAAAGTATGAAGACACAATTTAAGATGAAAGATCTAGGTAGAATCACTTTCTTCCTTGGAATGGATTTTAAGCAAAGCAAGGATGAAATAAAAATTAATCAGAAAAGATTCATTCTTAAAATACTAGAGAGATTTGGAATGATAGACTGCAAGCCCAGGTTAACCCCATGTGAGCAACGATTAGAATTTAACTGTGGTGAATTGACCAACGCCAGACAGTATAGAGAAATGATAGGAAGCCTAATTTATGCCATGACCTGTACAAGGCCTGATTTAAGTTGGATTGTAAGCAGACTGTCTCAAACTCTGTCAAACCCCAGAACGGGAGATTTAATTGCTGCCAAACATGTCCTAAGGTATCTAAAGGGTACCGTGGATTATGAACTCTGCTTTAAGAAATCTGATGCTGACTTGCAGCTCACTGCTTATAGTGATTCAGATTGGGCCTCTTGCCTGGAAGACAGGCGAAGTACTACAGGTTACTGTTGTACTCTAACTGAAGGAGGACCACTGATTTCATGGAAGTCGAGAAAGCAACCAACGGTTGCCATTTCCACTTGCGAAGCTGAATATGTAGCTTTAGCAAATACAGCTCAAGAGTGTTTGTATCTAACTCAATTGTTAAACGGTATGTATAAGAAAGTACATCAGAGTATGAAGGTAAGTGTTGATAACCAAGGGGCAATTGCACTAAGTAAGAACCCAGTTAACAGACAACGTTCTAAGCATATTGACATAAAGTACCACTTTGTACGTGAAATGTATGTTAAAGGCATGATCGATATTGTATATTGTCCTACCCAAGATATGGTAGCTGATATCCTAACAAAGCCACCCACAAAATGTAAACTAGATAATTTTAAAAGTATCGTGTTCGGTTGTGGTAATTAGTTTATATTCTGATAACAAGTGAGGGTGTTGAGTTCAATATAAAACTGTATGTTATCCAAATATTAGTATGACGTAATACTGAGAGACAAATGCATGATGGGATTGTTGTGTTGTTAGTTGAACTTCCTCGTGAAAGTAACTTACTGTACAAAACTACATTTGTAATAAACGTGAAAATAAACAGTGATTTCATTACAAATACGGTGTTCTAAAGTCATGGCTTCAACAACCTACTATCGACCATTTCCGACCCACTTACCGACCTATTTCCGACCTACTTCCAACCTATTTTCTCAGACCTATACCGACTGCGTACCGACATACTTCACCGTTCTCCGATCTACTTACCGACCTACTTTCGAACTATTTCCGACCTACTTATCGACCTATTTCTCTGACCCATTCCGACCTACTACCGATATACTACCGACCTATTTCCGACCTACTTCTCAGAATACAAAACCAGAACTATAGGTTTTTTTGTTATGAAAAGAGGCAGTAATATTACTCTGTTTATTTATATCTTTTATCCGAATCGAGAATAACATGTCTCGGATATAAAACAAAAAACAAAATCCAACATACTGTATAATTTTGATGGGTTTCTCTGTCAAGCTCTCGTACTAGAGTGATAACGCCTGTTGTGGGATCAATGTCAAACGGTATTACATAACCGGGGTTTTCGATTGAGTAGATAAACACTCCCTCTTTGTTCTACACAAAAATAATTCAAAATTGTCTTCAAAATCAGAAGATGTGAGGTGGTAGACATTGCAGAGAAGGTGAGAGAAGCAAGGTTGAGATGGTATGGGATGACACGTAATAAGATGAGATGAAGGAGAGCTGGTCATAAACATTATGGAATGAAGAGATCAGAAGAAGATGTGGGGTGGTAGACATTGCAGAGAAGGTGAGGGGACAATCAAATTTATATAGAATGAGCTCAGTACCTTATTTATATCCGAAGCTGAGACACTCCCAATAGTAACTCCAATCTCAGCATTTTCAGATACATTAAATGAATACTGATCTCTATCAAATACTGGAGCATAATTCTTATTCTCGATCACTGTAATAGTGACTACGACACTGTTTTGTAACTTCGGACTTGCGAGTTCATTTGAAGCTGTCACGTTCAGGAAATACACTCCCTGACTACCGTTCTGAAAAAAAAGTGTACGATTTTATGTTAAAACATAACTGATATTAGGCTTCATTTAATACTAGAGGAATCATCATAAAGGATTGTCTCCACATGAACTATAACAGCTATAATAACGTGATCTATACTGGCAATGGTTCCAAGAACAAATCATGTCTGATACTTTCCTCACAATTCGCTTAATGCTGTATTTATACACATAGACAGATCATCCGTCAAGAGAAATTACTTTCCTTATTATATAAAATGTTTACTCACTAGTGATTGGACAATGCTAATATTTCCAGTTGTTGCATTCATGGCAAATAAGCTGCTACCATTGACTACAAATATAAAACATAATGTGCTTAATGAAACCCAACATCTGCTTAATGAAACCCAATTATACCAAACTCCTACCTGATGTAAAGGAATATTGAATATCATTATTCACATCACAATCGGGATCACTCGTCATCACACGTACAACGTTTCCAGTATCAAGAACAGATATAACTGTTTCGTACGATGATCGTGAAAAGCTCGGGACATTATCATTGATGTCCATCACTAGTATGGTAACCTGTAGAAAAGGAAATCTATAAGTCAGACTAGTTTAAGGAAAAGTTTATTATACTGGATAGCTATATCACTTCTAAACTGTTCTCCCTTGAGGTCCCGTAAGAGTCGTCTCTTATTGATCCAGTTTTACTACAGGAGGAAACCTAAACTAAACTAACTTTATTTTATTATTTATACTGGATAGCTTTATCAGTTCTAAACTGTTCTCTCTTGAGATCCCGTAAGAGTCGTCTCTTATTGATCCAGTGTTACTACAGGACGAAACCTAAACTAAACTAACTTTATTTATACTGGATAGCTTTATCAGTTCTAAACTGTTCTCCCTAGAGGTCCAGTTAGGATCATCTCTTATTGATCCAGTGTTACTACAGGAGGAAACCTAAACTAAACTAACTTTATTTATACTGGATAGGATAGTTTTATCACGTCTAAACTGTTCTTCCTAGAGGTCCAGTAAGGGGCTTCTTTATCAGTTTAGTGTTACTGCAGAAAAGGTGAAAGAGACACTAACTGCTGTGCTACCAATCCTGTCTCTGTTTCCCTGTAGCAATAAGTGGTAAATAGATTGTGAAATATTTTATTCATACCGTGGCAGTGTCAGAAAGTTTTGGAGTGCCATTATCTGAAGCCTCGATGGTCAAGATCAAGACACCACGACAATATTCATCGTTCGTTAATCCAGCATCATCGCGATCCACTGGAACGGTCACGTTCAGTTCTCCCTGGATAAATTAACTTTAAACATTAATTATAAAATATTTAACCACACTGGACTAGTTTCGAACTAATAGAGTTCTTAAGTATTAGGGGCTGTTCGTATAGAGGGAGTTCTGGCATTTGAAAACAGACTTTTAGCATTTGAAAACGGAGTTCTGGCTTTTGAAACAGAAGTTCTGGCATTAGAAAACTGAGTTTTTGCATTTGAAAAGGGAGTTCTGGCCTTTGAAAACATAGTTTTGGCCTTCGAAAACGGCGTTCTGGTTTTTGAAAAGGTACTTATGCCATTATGAAAACTCAGTTGTGACACTTGAAAAGAGAATACTGGCATTTGAAAACAGAGATTTAGCATTTAAAGACGGAGTTCTGGCTCTTGAAAAAGGAGTTCTAGCATTTGAAAACTGAGTTTGGCATTTGAAAAGGGAGTTCTGGAATTTGTAAACAGAGTTTTAGAATTTGAAAACGGAGTTCTGGCATTTGAAAACGGGGTTTTGGCATTTGAAAAGGGAGTTTTGGCATTTGATAACTGAGTTTTGAATCCTCCCGTAGTATAACACTGGACATAACAGAGTCTGCAGCTCAGCAGAAAGCAAGCATTTCAATATATTTACCGTCGTAGCGTCAATGGCAAACAGTGAGGATCCGTCGACAATCGAAAACGTCAGGTGACCATTACTCCCAGAATCTTTGTCACTTGCGTTGATAACCAAAGAAGTCAAAGGTCCAACATAGTTCTCTTGAATTGTGACGTTGTAAGACGAGTGAGAAAATATTGGAGCATTGTCGTTTGAATCTGTGATGTTGAGTTTCACAAGCACTGATGACTATAGACGAAAAAGAGATTTTATGACAATAAAGCCCCGTACATCACAAGTTTACTTTCTTGTGTGTAGGGTCAACAAGTTTTCTTTGATAAGTTTCCTTGACAAGTTTACTTCTCGTGTGTACGGTCAACAACGGCGTCCGTGCACAAATGAGCATAAACTCAGACAAAAACATAATGACTTGATAGACAATGTACTTGACCACTGCTTGCAAACAGATAAAGTAATACAATAATGAAAGTTCACTTAATCTTGCCTTCAATCCTCCAGGATCAGTAGCGGTGACGTTCAATGTGTACGAAGAAGTTTCTTCAAAATCCAGAGGGTTAGCTGTGGTGGATATCACTCCAGTAAGTGAGTCAATTGTAAATCTTCCATCGTCACCTGAAGAATAACATTTACAAGCTGTCATGGTTTGTGTTTGAACTGAAAATGATTTAAAATACCCTTTGTTACAGGTTAGTTTTGGCTACTAACATCCTATAACTAGCAAACTACCAAAACTAAATATCATACCTGAAATAGAATATACAATTATGTCGCCGTCCTCATCTTTTGCAGATACTTGTAACACCGAAGCTCCACCAGGTGTATCCTAAATAACGGTATTTAAAAGGTTAAAATATGAATCTTAATATGTTTACGATACAGAAACCAGCATTAGATACACGAGTGAAACTTCTGACATATTTAAAATTCACCAGATAACGTTTTAGTAATTCAATGAAATATTTCCATCTCAAAATGTGGTTGCCGACTCAGTTCGTGGTACTATGCAATGCGGTTAAGAATGCATGGTTATATTTTACCTCAGGCAAGCTGAAACTGTATGAAGAATTGAGGAATTCAGGAACATTGTCATTCACGTCCATGATAGTAATTTCAACAAACGTCATTCCTGTCCCCACACCATCACTTGCAACAACCTAAGAGGATAAGTTCTTTGTACTAGGTTTGCATGGCGATAAACATTTAATACTTTTTGTTTGTAGAAACACCACGTAAGTTAAACCGGAAACATACAGATAAGAAAATGCAGGAAGAGATCCTACATCAATGCTTTTAAAATAAATTTAATGATGTTTGAGGTGAAACCTGAATTATTCGAAATACGTTGTGGGACGCTCTTTGGTATAAAATATATATTTATTTCTCAAGCTTTTGATTGCCAGACTGTTAAACACCCGTTAACCAGACTTGAACAGTCGAACACTTGTGAAAAAAACACACAATATTTTAGACCAGAAAGCGTCCAAAAAACTCAATAAAACAACAAGTTCCTACTTACGGTGAGATTGAAAAAAGATGTAGTTTCATGATCAGGTATTTTGGCAATCTGTATTTCGCCAGTACTTGATATATTGAACACACCACCAGTATTCCCTGACGTGATTTCATAGGAAATCTAACAGAAAGAAAGCATTCCTTAATTTCAGAAGCATGGCTGGAAGATGTAGTCCGCACGCTGGCTGGTATGGTAGGATATTACTGAAGATGACCAAATGCGAATCGCAGGGCTGCATGAGGGCTTATGGTTGCATTTGTCAATGTATAAAATTTACACAAAAATATTTCCAAACAAAAATCTTACCATATCTTGTTCGTCACCATCAATTGCTTTGACCTCAAGCACTGGACTGCCAAGCGGTGAATTTTCATCAATCTGTCCTTTGTAAACCCTGAACTGAAATTCTGGACTTTCATCATTCACGTCAACCACAGTGATAGAAACCTAGAGTACGAAATAAGAAAACAGGATTGAGAAACCTAGAGTACGAAATAAGAAAACAGGATTGAGAAACCTGGGATACAAAAATACGGAATATTATGTCAAGGAAAATTTCTAAGGAGATTTCTGAGGAGAACAGTTTAGAACTGATAGAGCTATCCAGTATAAATAAAGTTAGTTTAGGTTTCCTCTTGTAGTAACACTGCATCGATAAGAGATAATCCTTACTGGACCTCTAGGAAGAACAGTTTAGAACTGATAGAGCTATCCAGTATAAATAAAGTTAGTTTAGTTTAGGTTTCCTCTTGTAGTAACACTGGATCAATAAGAGATGATCCTTACTGGACCTCTAGGAAGAACAGTTTAGAACTGATAGAGCTATCCAGTATAAATAAAGTTAGTTTAGTTTAGGTTTCCTCCTGTAGTAACACTGGATCAATAAGAGATATCCTTACTGGACCTCTAGGAAGAACAGTTTAGAACTGATAGAGCTATCCAGTATAAATAAAGTTAGTTTAGTTTAGGTTTCCTCCTGTAGTAACACTCGATCAATAAGAGATGATCCTTACTGAACATCTGGAGAGAACAGTTTAGAACTGATCAAGCTATCCAGTATAAATAAAGTTAGTTTAGATAATTCAGTAAATTAAGTTTATCGGTAATGACTATTGTATACTCACATATCCAATAGCTTGTCTCCCAGCTTTCGAAGCCATTACCAATAGACTATACCCATCCAGAGTTTCGCGGTTCAGTCCTCGAGCCAAAGAAATAGAGCCCTAAAGAATAAAACGAATTATAACATTGAAGCGAATATATGATTTCATTAAGAACTATCGCGCAGCAGATGGGGATCAACTGGATGTGATCAAAGTGAGAAAATTATGTCATCCCAACCTACCTGACTGTCAATTTTGAAATAACCACCGCTGGGTAACTGGAACAGTATGGTGAAATTATCTGCAGGCTCAGAAGAATTGACCTTTACGATGACGTCACCAATAGAAGCGTTTTCAAATACCGTGGCCTCGGTCAGTGTTGGCAAGAGAAATGGGCTCAAGGTTGGGTCAGATATGATGTTGAACTTAACGGTGTAATTTGAACTCGACTGACTTGGATTTCCTTTATCCTTCACATAAGCCGTAAACAGGATGCTACGGAAAAAAGTTCGTTAAAATAATGTCCATCTATTTGCAGGACAAAAAAATTTAGTTTAGTTTAGGTTTCCTTCTAAAGTAACACTCGATCAATAAGAGATGATCCTTACTGGACTTCTAGGGAGAACAGTTTAGAACTGATAGAACTATCCAGTATAAATAAAGTTAGTTTAGTTTAGGTTTCCTCCTGTAGTGATACTAGATCAATACGAGATGATCCTTACTTGACCTCTAGGGAGAACAGTTTAGAAGTGATAGAATTATCCAGTATAAATATGGTTTAGTTTAGGTTTCTAATAAAGAGATCCGACTATAAAGTCACCAACCTGGAAGACCTTGTACTTTCTAGTTTAGTTTTCGCTTTAATCAGGCCAGTTGCGTGATCTATTGTCAAGTTATCTGGTACAGCTGATCCAAAGAACTCAAAGTCTGCATTATTGCCTGAATCAAGATCTTCGCCTTGTAAAACGTAGAGCAAGGTACCTAACAGAAGAAAAGGATATTGAAGGATATAGTATGAAAGAGAGTGGGAAACAGGTTAAAGAAGAGATAGAATGAATGATGGAGTGGCTGGGGAGAAAGAACGGAAGGAATTATGTTTTTTACCAAAAAGGATTGAGAGGCCCTATTCAACTACCTGAAAAATACTTCATACGCAAAACTTCAATCGAAGCCCAGCCATTAAAGAAGACAGGAAGCTTAAAATGACAACAGGGTAGGATAGTTGATGTAAAGGAAGGATTAAAGGAAGTAAGTAAGGTAAAGGACTAGATTATAATTATAAATTGACCAACCTGCGGGCACATTATCACTGATATTAAACTCGGCTGGTGAAGGCAAATTAATAATCTGAGGGATATTATCATTTGCATCAAGAACAGTAATCCTAACTTGACTCATGTCTGTCAATCCTGCTCGATCTGTCACCATGACAGTTAAATCAAACGTTTTTTGTGTATCATTTTCATAGTCCAAGGGTATTCTTGAAAGTATTGCTCCTGTCGAGTTGATCTGAAATGCATTGTTTGTATTTCCACCTAGAATTACAATTTAGAAATAAGTGCCAATGATCTTACCAAAACGTGAATACTTGAGTTTCCCGTTATCCCCAGTAAACTTGTCGGCATATGGGGCTACTTAACAGTAGATGCAAAAACTACATCATGACACAAATTGGTGTAATGTATTCTTGTGTCGTCTTGTAGTAACACCCATGGCTACTACTGGACCTCTAGGAAGAACAGTTTAGAACTGATAGAGCTATCCAGTATAAATAAAGTTAGTTTAGTTTAGGTTTCCTCCTGTAGTAACACTGGATCAATAAGAATTAAATGATCCTTACTGTACCTCTAGGAAGAAGTTTAGAACTGATAGAGCTATCCAGTATAAATAAAGTTAGTTTCGTTTACTTACCAACGATACTATAAGTAATTTCTCCCAGAATGCCAGAATCAGGGTCAGTAGCTTCAACATTTAATGCAAATGTCAGTCCCAATCCTTCCACGATCGTGCCAACCCAGGCGACATTGGTGAACTCTGGAGCATGATTGCTGTAATCTGTCAAGTTTACAATTACTGCAGTAGAGTTAATCATCGCCTGAGGAATGCCACGGTCTGTTGCGATCACCTGAAGTGAATATAGAGATTTCTCTTGGCTGTCCAGTTTACCAGAGACTGAAATCACACCTGTAAGAGGAACAAATTGTATAAGTTGTTGGTTAAACTAATCCTAAACTAAACCAACTTACTGGATAACTTTACTAGTTCTAACATGTTCTTCCTAGAGGTCCAGTAATTGATCCAGTGTTATTGATCCAGTGTTACTACAGGAAGAAACCTAAACTAAACTATCTTTATTTATACTTGATAGCTCTATCAGTTCTAAACTGTTCTTCCTAGAGATCCAGTAAGGATCATCTCTTATTGATTCAGTGTTACTACAGGAGGAAACATAAACTAGACTAACTTTATTGAGCTAGGGTAGCTCTATCACTTCTAAACTGTTCTCCCTAGAGGTCCAGTAAGGATCATCTCTTATTGATCAAGTGTTACTCCAGGTAGAAACATAAACTAAACTAACTTTATTTATACTGGATAGCTCAATCAGTTCTAAACTGTTCTCCCTAGAGGTCCAGTAAGGATATCTCTTATTGATCCAGTATTACTACAGGGAGAAACCTAAACTAAACTAACTTTATTTATACTGGATAGCTCAATCAGTTCTAAACTGTTCTCCCTGGAGGTCCAGTAAGAATCATCTCTTATTGATCAGTGTTACTACAGAAGGAAACCTAAACTAAACTAACTTTATTTATACTGGATAGCTCTATCAGTTCTAAACTGTTCTCCCTAGAGGTCCAGTAAGGATATCTCTTATTGATCCAGTATTACTACAGGGAGAAACCTAAACTAAACTAACTTTATTTA